CCAAAAGCAGTAGATATGAAGCGAATGTGTTTCGTTCTTACATTCATTGCTGGCCACTCATCTCAGTAAAATGAAAAGCATACGCCGCTAAAAAAAGCCAACGCAGATGGTCAAGTCCACCCCCCCACCAGCATTTCAGGTAACCTATTATGTTAGTTAGTGCCCAGAGGTGTAACTGGCTGGATTTCCACATCTACATGCATCGCCAAATTGGACGGGGTGATTCTGCAATCCCATGTCTCCTCCAGCATTTCCTCCTTTCTTCCCCACGCAGTGAGAACACGGACAGCCACAAGCCCCATATCCAAAAAAACATTTATTGCCGTGTCTCGGGGCACCTTGAGTAACGCCCCCCCCAACCTGCAAATGCACGCCTTGCTTGCTAGATGAACCTGTCGCCTCCCGAAGATATAAAGTTTGGCACCGGGTGATGTTTGCCCCTCTCCAAGGCCTTGTACATTCCTCGGCGCATCTCGTTCTGACTCCGCCACGCTGCTGGACTCGGGAAAGCATAATAGGTGTCATATTTCACCCAGGACCTGCTCCCTGCCTGGTCACGGTGATTCACAGTGGGCAGAAATTTCACTGCCCTTACATGTACATGTTTGCGTGCCGATGCTGTCTGCATACATGTGGCTGTACACGCCGTCCTCGTCACACCTGCCTCCCATCACCGAAGGATGTAAAGCAGCAGTTGAATCATCCTGTCCAGAATGTCCTGTCGGGAATTTTCAAGGACGTCGAGGCGTCAGACTGAATCGTGGCTATTGTATGAAGCTTCTTGTCTCTTCTCTTCTCTTCTTGTCCCTTCATCTTTCACCCTCTGAGTCCTTCTAGCGATGGTCAGATTTGCCCGAAAACTTTTTATTCTGGTGTCCAGGCCTGAGCGTTGGCAACGTGCTTGTTTGGAACGTGTCCCGACTTCAGGCAATGTGACGGATATTTAGGGTGGGCGGGGGGGCACACTGGTGCATCCCACTGCTTGTACTATAATAAGATCGCCGGGTTCTGCTGGGAGGTGAATGTACTGGAGACCCCCCTCCAGGCACCTTCTGTAGAACTTGGTTCCTCTGCCTGCCCGAGCCGGACAAGACTGAGCCTGGCCAAATATGACCACAAGCGGCCAATCGCAATTGGCAGGCCCGGGGGGGCTAATTGTATGGCGGGCCTCGCTGGAGACTGGGGTCATTTGCATAACCACCTTATTGCGGTGGGCCATTCATGCTGCTCCGGGTCGGGGACCCTTAACTCCGCTTTCTCATTCGCTACAAATCACCTTGTGGAAACCAAAGGAAAGATCCAGGAAGATCTTTTCCAGTAGCTCCATCCTTTAGTATTCATGATCTAAAGTAGGATTCTCTTCTTTTTTTGGTTCCGCGGGAGCCTGGTTCTTGGATGGACTCTGTAATCCATCTTTATAGAACCAGAAAAGAAGATTAAAACCGAGTTCCAAAACAAATCAGAGGAGAACAAACGCGGTGCTCGAGCACAACCAGGGATGGCTTTTGGACGCCGACCGTGACTGTAAGCCTAGTGCCCCGGTTCTGCCGCCACTGCTCTTGTGGTCTGGGGAATCCTACTGGCGAGTTACAGCACAAATGTTCACCCCTCCCCCCCCCCAAACAACTGGCACGTGCCAGCACCACACAAAAGGAGGGCTAATTCCAGCGCGGATGTGCCATCACTAACGCGGCCTCCCAGAAAGGCATCCGAACGTGAGCAGGGGGCCAAAACATTATTATTCAAATCCATGGTCAGCCTGTTTTTTGATGCACTTTCTCGACAGTCGCACATACAGGCACACACACCACTCGAGGTAGCCTGGCCATTTTCTTTCACATTACGGTGACCGTTCCTCTCTGGAACTTCAGTCCTTCTGTCAAAGGCCTTTGATCATTCCAGCTCCTCCTGCCTCACGCTTGTAAAGACCCTCCATGAAAGAGTGAATTCGTTATCATACCCAGTACATGGGTTTCACTCATTATTGAGATAGAGGCAGTGGTTATGCTCAGTCTGGGCTAATGGCCGCATGGGCCCCATCTGTGGGCCCCGTTTGTGGGCCCCTGCGACCGGCACATGAACTCAAAAGTCCGTTGGCTGCTCCTCACCAAGCTATCAGGAAACGCAGAGATGAGGGACGGCCGGACAATCCTCACCGGTCCTCGGCACTCAACTCCCAGGTGGCCGCGGTGACAGGCATACCGACACTGGCAACTGGTAGGATAAATGGGTCTGCAAATACTACATTAAAAAGTAATGGACTGGGGACCTACTGGGGAGAGAAATCTCTCCTTTACTGCTGAGGCAGGCTTTTCTACTGGACCCTGGCCCTGGGGCAGGGAGCTTCGCTCCCCTTGGAGGGAGCAGGGAGCAGTAGAAGTTCAGGGAACGTTTAAGTTTGGACTTTTCAACGGCCAGTCGATTGTCTCGGAGGTTAATTTGTAGAATTTGTAGCAGGAATCTGTACTTATAGGTCAATTATAGAACCCTTTGAAGAGACCGAGTTAGGTCTTGTGTGACTGTTAAAACTTCATGTACGCGACCAGAAGGTCGCTGGTTCAAATCCCATGGTCAGCTATGTAATTTCACAACTGGGCCATTGAGCAAGCCGTTTAACGCACAGTTGCTCTCAGGACTGGCTGCCCCTGCTTCCTCAATTGTATGTCACCTTGGATAAAAGCAATGCTTTAAATAAATTCCTGTCGCAATCCAAAGGAAAGGTGTGAGGCTGATTAGTACTGTATCTAAAAGTTTCTTGATGTGTTTGACTGTGTGTATGTGCCCAGTGATGGGTATAGCCCAACCTCGTGCCCTGTGTTCCGTGAGGGAAGGCCCTGAATGACCTTGACCAAGATGAGCAGAACACAATGTATGTTCCTCATGTGTATCATGTTTTTTGTGATATGCAGCCTGTGAGTTCCTGTTGCTCCCTATTTTGTGCAAACTAAATATGGAAGCTAGCACCTCTCCTGTGATGTGGTCATGGTTAGAGATGGAATGGTATGGATATTTAATATCATGATTATAGTGACCAAAATTATCGCAGTTCTCAACGTTATGGCGGTATTGTTAAAATGTCCTGAAAATGTTCAAAAAGTTCTGATACACAAACTGAAATCATTTCATCAAGTTTCACGCTGAAAACCACAAATGAAACTAGCAGCGCTATATACCGTTTACATAAACATTAAAATACTAACATAGCCAATACCTTATGTAAACATGTGAAAACCACATCAAATGTGCATTAACATTTAAAACCTCCAGTGCACTGTCACTGTGAATGGCCATTGCCTACTGCCATGTTTCCACTGGCACAAAACAAAGCCACACTGCACACTGCACCTGCACCTGCTGCATCTGGGACACTGTCGATAGCTTTGGTTGATGCTGGGTGGTATTTAACGTGTGTTTTTCAAAGTCTGGAAATCAATCACGGTTTTAATGAAAATTTAAAGTTGAAACTGTGATGCTAACTGATGGGCATTTTACCATGGTTTACCATAAAACTGGTAACCGTCTCATCCGTAGTCGTAGTATTAAGTGGAAATGCCCATGATTTCTCTGTGCCATTGTACTGCTTTAGCCCTATCAGATGGGTGCTGCTAATGCCCTTGGAGGGGGCTGGCCTCCGTCCCGATTCAGAGACTCGCAGTGGCTTCTGTGGGCACTGGGCCTCTCATCCGTCACTGACACACTTCTGGTCCCCCGCCTCCCCTTGCAGTTCTGTTGAGCCTGCTGACCGTGCATGCCAAGACGGAGATGAAGAGGGTGGTTGGGGACAACGCCACGCTGCCCTGCCACCACCAGTTCTGGCAGGCCGACGCCCAGACACTGGACATCGAGTGGCTCCTGCTGAAGCCCAACTCCAAACAGGGAGTGGTGAGGATGCCCCAGGCGGGGGCCTTTACCGCCGGCACACCTGACAGAACTGCCCTCCTCTTTCTGCAGCCAATCAGCACACAGCATCAGCATCCTTCAGCATAAATGAAAGTCAAAAGTCATCCACCTTAGCTATTTCTGCCAGTTATACTGTTTTATCTAGCTAAAGGTTCCCTTTAAAAAACAGTTTAATTCTTAGAAAATGGCAGCAAAATTTCCAGTTTGAAGTCTTTTCCTCTGTCTCCAGATCACTTACAATTTTTTCCCAATGAAGTAGCTGCAGTTTAGAGTAAACCTTGTAACCTTTTCAGAGTCTTTTTAGGAAGCAGTTAAGTCCCAGTGATCTGTTATCACACCGAGACGTTCTTTTCTACTTGGAAAAGAAAAGAACAAACACCTAATTGTCCGATTCTTTTGATAAAGTGTAAAATTTTACGTTTAACCGAAGATAACATCGAAAGCGCCACTAATTAAAGTAAAGCATCTGAAAATCTGATTACGGGCGAGACGGCACCCTCGGTGGAGTGAATAATGATGCCCTTGTTCTCGGGAAGGCTGTGTTCAGGAGAAAGGGAACAGCTTGTTGGTGCTTAACCCCGTGATACGCGTCAGTAACAGAGCTAGGACCCCCGGGGGGGGGGCATTCTCCCACGGGGGCCCTTTGCAGGTGTCAGACAGGAGCAGGTGCGGGAGGGCTGTTAGGGATTGCGCACACTCGGACACGCGTGCAGCCGCGCTCACGCACACGCACTCATGTTATTATCTTTCAGATTTCCGCCTCCATCGCCATAGCAACAAAAACACATGAAAGAGGATGGGGAACTGAATGCTTCAGGAGTCTTTTCTGTTATGTTTGTTTCTTACTTTTTTTACATCTACTTCTCATTTAAGTTGAGAAGTACACCTGTGAACACTTGTGTATAAATGCACAGGCGAATATGAGCAAACTATTGCATGCCAACACAGGCATGCGCAGGCACATGCGCAGGCGCAGCTCCCTTACAGCACGCAGCTGGCAGACAGGTGAACAGCCTCAGATGCTTGTGAACTCAGGGTTTAGCGATGTCTCATCGGGCCCCTGGGTCTCTACCAGTAAGATGAGAAGCGAGACCAGTTTTACCACCAGTAGGCGACTATATGATTTTTTCAAGGCAGGGGCATAACAGGGGGCGTTACAGAAGGGGCATAACTCATACAAGGGGGCCAACCTTATTATTAGCCAATGATAAGCTTTGAAATAGTGAGTGACAGGGGAGGGGGCACTCAGCGAGCCAATCAGCTTTCATCTGAGGGCAGTGCCCCTGTATTCACCCCTGTATACCACTAACCAAAAAGGAGGGGGGTGATGCATTTCAAAATCGGGCTTCCTAACTCCCCCCTCCCCCATCAGGTGATCACCTACTTTGCGGGCAAAGTGTACGATCCCAATGAGAACGAGGAGGGCCGCTGGTCCTTCGCGGGGGATTACATGAAGGGCGACGCCTCGCTGCTCATCGGCGACCTCGCGCTCGGTGACACTGGGGAGTACACCTGCAAGGTCAAGAATGGCGGCAAATATTACTGGAGCACGGTCAGCCTCAACGTTCTGGGTAAGTCCTGTGGGCAGCTCTGAGCTCGTGTAGGATTTTTTTTTTCTTTGTGGTGGGGGTCACGAGGGGGGGGGGGTAACCTTGTTATTAGCCAATGATATGTTTTGAATCTGAGGGACAAGGGAAGGGATGCTTCAAGGGCCAATCAGCTTTCAGCTGGGGCCAATGTCCCTGTGGCCCCGCCCCCTCTACACCCCTGAGGTCTATGTCCAGCCCTTTAAATTGCTGCTTCTGGGTCATCTGATCCATGGGGACAGCTGCCATTCTTTCACCCGAAATCAGTCTTTATCTTTTTTTCCTTTTCAGTTTTTTTTTTTTATATTTACTGCTTCAAAAGCTCTTATCGGAAAATGGCGTTCCCCAAACTGTTCCCATTGAATTGGAAGCTTAGAATAAATGTCTTGGTATGCATATCAGGGCATTTTGGACAATTCTATACATCCAACAACTTGGGAACAGTTTGGGGAACGCCATTTTCTGTTCCAGCATGACTGTGCCCCAGTGCACAAAGCAAGGCCCATAAAGATACGGTTTTATTAGTTTGGTGGTGTGTAAGAGCTTGACTGGCCCACACAAAGCCCTGACCTCACCTCCATCGAACACCTTTGTGATGAAATAGAATGGAGATTGCGAGCCAGGCTTTCATGTCCAGTCGTATCAGTGCCTGACCTCACAAATGCTCTTATGGATGAATGGGCAAAAATTTCCACAGACACACTCCAAAATCTTGTGGAAAGCCTCCCCAGAAGAGTGGCAGCTGTTATAGCTGCAAAGGGGGGGCAGCTCCATATTGATGCCTATGGATTTAGGATGGGATGTCGTAGAAGGTTCTGTGGGTATAACGGCCAGGTGCCCCAATTCTTTCACCCATATAGTATATCTAAACGCAGCCATTTTTATAGCTAGTTTAACATTTACTGGTACTAGTGTGATTTCCTGTTATGCTACAACTGTGTTTTTCAACCCAGTCCTTGGGATCCTCAGTCAGTCCACATTTTTGCTCCCACCCAGTTCTTGATTGTCTCATTCAGGTGAGCAAACTGGGAGGGAGCAAACGTATGGGCTCTCTGGGAATCCCCTAGGACTGGGTTGAGAAAGACAGTATTACTGTAGGAGATACCTCCAAATTACATTTACTATATCCAAACACATGTTTTATACAGACAGATTCATTCAGCTTTTGATAGGTACAAGTCAAACGCATGTTACCCTCTTAGACAGGTTTATAGAGATTCTGTGCAGTTGAACTTGTGAGAATAAGCAAAATGTTGATTATTAAAAAAAAAATGGAATATTCTGCGAATCTGCTCACACCTTTGAGCTGACAGCACAGTGGGAACAATGTGATGCAGTTATAGTTCCGAAGCAGAAAGATCTCTTATTATTTTCCACCTCACGCTTCAGCCAGTTAGCTCCTTTAATCGTACAAATTGCCCACTGCAACACCGTGAAATTTCAATTCTGAGTGCTGGGCATTTGCATCCTTCTTTTTCAATGTAAGGGTACTGGCTTGGCAGGCGATCCAGAGGCTGGCAGTGCAGCTCGACACACGTGTTCCGGACCGAGCCGCAGGGTTCACTTTGAAGGCACTGCAGTCTGTTTTTTTAAAGCAGCTTATTCACCTCACTGTTGGAGGCACTGCAACATGATCACAGTGAGATTTTCAAAATGAGATTATGAGATGCACAGTTCTGCACTGGTATTCAGAACCTCATATTTCTACAGTGAGACAGTGAGAGTCTCAGTTTTGCAGTGAGATTCTGAGATACACAGTACTGCAGTAAGATTCTGAGAAGCATGGTTTTCCAATGAGATAATAAGATGAAAAGTTCTCCACTGAGATATGCAGTTCTGCGCTGAGATTCCAGGGACACTACTGCAGTGAGATTTTGAGATGCACATTTCTGCAGTGAAATTCTGACATACCCAGTTCTGTGGTGAGAGAATGAGATGGACCATTCTGCACTGAGATTCTGAGATATGCAGTTTGGCAGTGATATTCAGAGCCTTTTCTGAGTCTTTCTACCTTGAGAATGTGAGAGTCATAGTTTTGCAGTGAGATTCTGGGGGACAGTTTTGCAGTGAGATTCTGAGATGGACAGTTCTGCAGTGAGATTCTGAGATATGCAGTTCTGCAGTAAGTTTCCAGGGGACACAGTCCTGCAGTGAGATTCTGAGCTACACAGTTCTGCAGTGAGATCTCGAGATGCACGGTTCCGCGGTGAGATCCTGAGATGCATATCTCTGCAATGAGATTCTGAGATGCACAGTGCCTCAGTGAGATTCTGAGATGCACATTTCTGCAGTGAGATTCTGGGGTACCCAGCTTGTAATGAGATGCTAAGACTGGCAGTTCTGCAGTGCAGGAAAAAAAGCAGACAGCTGTAACAGTTTGTTTCCTATTGCAGTATGTGTGAAACCAGATGTAAAAATTAAGCCCCATCTATTCAAACTTCCTGAGAGCAGTGGGTACCTGAGCACCAGTGGGGGTATGAACGTGCGACCCATGCCTGCACGATTACTAGCTGCCTGGTTATCACCGAAACCGGCCCGGTTTAATTTAACGCGCGTGCTCGTTCCTGAGTAAGCAGGGCAGCTATGCGGGACAGCTGAGTAACAGTCATGTGGGCGGTGTTTTAGTTCTGGTATTTTCTCCAGGATGTGGGTGCATCTCAGCGCTCAGAAAGAGCAATACAGAGCCTTTTATCCAGTCAGGGGGGGTACTGCTGCTGAGATAGTTTTGGCTTTTTTCCATGCGTCTCTTTTTTTTCGCAGTACATCGGGTGCTTCAGGGGTCGATGGTTGAAGTCCCAGGAGGGGGCCTTCCCGCAAAGTACTCCAGTTATGCTATTTGCTCTGGGTAAAATGAGTGTGGGGGGAGGGGGCATTGGGGGATTGGCGACTAACGAGGTGCACTCTTCGTCTTGCACAGTGAAGCCCTCCAAACCCCAGTGCTGGATGGACGGCCGTCTGCTGGAAGGCAGTGACGTCAAGCTGGGCTGCAGGTCGGCCGACGGCTCGGAGCCCATCCACTACAAGTGGGAGAGGGTGCTGGACAAGGGCAAGAGCGTGGGGAAACTGCCGCCTCTGGCCCTCATAGGTGAGAACTCCTGCACTGCCACCAGGGGGCACAATAGTTATGGTCCCATAAAGACTTTGGCTTTCTTCCCATTGCTTTCCCCTTAGATTAACTACTCCAAGCAGGATCACTTGGTTAAAACATCCTGCTCATAACCAGGCAAAATATGCACAATTGTAATCGGCACCATTTGCCATTGGTAAGTGTTTAATCTACATCCAGGCTCCTAAGCTGAAATGAGGGTATTATAATGGGGGGTGCTAGTTCCTCAGATGCCCGCACTGGTGCGTGAGAGTGCAGTGCCGCCACGCTTCTCACACTGCCGCTTCCTTTCCTGTCCACCTCTTCACTCCGAATCCATCAAATTGCCAACGGAGGGCATTCGGGATTAATGACCCTCCCAAGATGTGCACCCGTTCTGGCGAATTTGTTTACATCGGGCCGACACGACTTGGCATCATGGGGCATCATTTATCACTCATCCCTAATTATGACGGCACGGGGGCGGCACCGTGTGGCTGCAACCACAGGGGGGGGGGGGGGGGGAGCAGCTTGTCCCTCCTTAAAGCTGCTTTTGGATGCAAACCACTTGGCTCCAGGATTCAGAGGGGTTTTGACAAAGGAGCAAGTTTGGGGATAAGCTCCTATCCCACCTCTGTGGCTTAGTGGTTTCGGGTGTTGTATGGGAGATCAGAAGGTTGCTGGTTCAAATCCAAGGATTGGCTGAGTAATTTCACTGTTGGTCCCTTCAGTACACCCTTTAACCCCAATTGCCCCAGGGACTGTGTGACCCTGTGTTCACAAAAAATAGTGTTTGGTAAATAAATGTAAAATTTTAAATGCTACATTTATGAAGGAGCAGAGTTCAGAAGCTTCATCTCACTAGGTTTTACATCTTGTCCATTTATATTAGACAGCAAGATGTGTATTTGCTCTATGTCTGCTTCACCTACCCCTCAAACCACAAGCGTGCCAAATAAATTCATCCTGTTCCATCCTCCAGTTTCTGTGCCCAGTGGATCTGTTTGCAGTAACTATTAGCCAGGATTTTTAATAGCAACTCCATGCCATGGATTGGATCAGGGAAAGGGGCCTCTGGTGTTGACCAAGCAATGCTTGCCCAGCCATCAAGTCAATGTGTAATTTTGTGGCATTTAAAATACAGGTGTCCATTTCAGTGCCTGCGTCGTAGGGCACAGAAATGTGGTCCCTCATCCGCCAGATAACATGGCCGACATACCAGTGAGAAAGGGACGCGATTCAAGGAGAGGTTAGAAACGCCAATGTCATTTTGAGAAAAGCCAGCTGAGGGGGGGGCACATGATGAAAGACAGAAAGTCTGAGCTGGATCGTTCCAGAAGACCACTTATAATCTAGTCCTGAAGACAAGTCCACAAGCAAAACGGCAGTTTCAGAACCAGTTTATGTCCGAATAAAGACTTCATTATAAAGTTCCCTTTCGCAATAGCCAAAGGAATATCCTATGAAAGTTAAAAAGCCACAGCACTAGGGTTCACAGATGATCAGGCTCTTGATAAAACACTACCGACTCCAATCAGTGAGCAGAATGGCCATTTTTTTCATTCCTAATCAGAGCTGTTTGTGGTTTTTTCGTTAGATTCCTTGAGTTTTTTTTTTTTTGCAGATTTGAAGAACCCAGAGATCATCACCTTGAGGAACCTCACGCTTGACAGCACGGGGGTATACAAATGTACCGCTCACAATGACGTGGGGGAGGAGAACTGCATCATTGAGGTCACCATGCACTGTGAGTACAGTTGGCCCTCTTCCAGACAATCGCCGGGTGGCTAGAGATAGAGTCTCGATACCCCCCACCCCCCATGATGTCCATTATCCACACACTTCACCCTGATCTGCAAGGCCCAGGGATGTGATTGGCAGATCTAACACAAACACACACACAAGGACACCTGCTCCCCCCACGGCAACGCCTTGCTGCCCAAAAGAGTGTTTAACGGCACATTAGACACGTATCTTTACATGCAGAAATCACGTCGGTAACTTTATCTCATTTTTGTTTTCGTGTAATTACTCGTTTTTGCAAATGCTACAGTACAAATCCCAGAGAAACAGAACAAAGCAATATTTAATTTCTCACTGGGTTTTCTGAAACGGATGAGGAGCCAAATGTTACAGACACACCAGCATTTTGTATTACCAAAAAATGTCATTTACTGTGACTCAGAAAAACCTGTTCAAATAAATACTTATGGACAGCTATTCAATTACCTCTACAGAGATTCATTGTTTTTAAGTCTAATAAAGAAAGTGAATTTAAGAAACTAAATAAACTTCTTATACAATAACTAAATAACTAACTAAATATGTGATATAATGAGACAAGTTATGAATGCTGACAGAGAAAATAGTGGATTTAATTTAAACTACTATCGGTACTTTAAAAACAAAAGATTATTTTAATGTATTTCACCGCTTTACATTGGTAATGTTATAAAATATATTGAAGATGAGTATATAATACCATAGTTACACCTGAAGTCCCGATCATGCATGCGTAGGTGGATACAGTGTAGTAAAATATGCTGTAAATAAATTCATGGGCATGCAGATTTGTGTTTTATTTATTTTTCTTTTTTCAACGTTATGAAGACACATGTCAATTACAACATGTACTTATTCAAAAACAGTGATGTTGGTGACCATGTTCTGGCGTTTGTCTACGCAACAGACATAACACCGAATATGCAGCGCAGAATTAAGTAGCAGCATCACTAGTGTCCGAAATGTATTAGCCACTGACTGCCCTTATCAAGTGCTCTGTGTAGCAAACATCATATAGTGAGAGAGTGAGTGGACAAGGGGACATTCCATATGCAGCGCTGGTCTTCTCTACCTTCCTGTGTCGCTGCGTCTGACTTCCTGTGTCGCTTTGCCTGACTTTCTGTATTGCAGTATCTGACTTCCTGTGTCTCTGTGTCTGACTTCCTGTATTGCAGTATCTGACTTCCTGTGTCACTGTGTCTGACTTCCTGTATTGCAGTATCTGACTTCCTGTGTCTCTGTGTCTGACTTCCTGAATTGCAGTATCTGACTTCCTATGTCTCTGTGTCTGACTTCCTGAATTGCAGTATCTGACTTCCTGTATCACGCTTTCTGACTTCCTGAATCGCAGTATCTGACTTCCTGTATCACACTTTCTGACTTCCTGAATCGCAGTGTCTGTCTTCCTGGATTATAGTTATCTGGGTGGTTTCCTGAGCTTGCATGTTTGTTCTGATGTTCTGATGTCCACAGATGTGCGGGGGATGGGTGTGGTGGCCGGTGCGGTGGTGGGCGTGTCCTTCGGGGTCTTGCTCATCATCCTCATCATCTGGCTTGTCTTCCGGAAGAAGGAGAAGAGGAAGTATGAGGAGGAGGAGACCCCCAACGAGATACGGTGAGCCCCCCCCTGCATCCCCCAGTTTTTCCCCTCTCTCTCAGTAGGTTCCCCATTTCGCTGATCGCGCTCTCCTCTATTATGCATGCGAGGCTGGCCGGGACGCTTGTTGCAGCATCGACAGTTTTCGTTGCGGTTTAGCAGCAGGACTGCAGCTCGTTTGTGAGCGTTGAGATGAATTATCTGGGCTCTGGGGCTCAGCAGAGTTTGGATAGTGCAGACATTCTAGGGGAATTGGCTGAAAGCGTACACACTGTTTCCTGAGTACAGTGCATGTTCACGTACCTACTCACCACCAAAGGCGGGCACAACCCTGCAAAATGCCACCGGAAAAAAATAAGTAAATGATCGTGTGCCAGACGGGTCGGCCAAGTAATAGATGAGCCTAGAGGGTCACGTGGGTTACTGTGGCGATGGCCGATGCACTGAGGAATCCTGGGAAGTGTTACGGTTTCCAGCAGTCTAGCGGAAGAGGAAAGCCAACCCATTACAGCGTCAGGGTCCATCTCGCCAGTAAAGGACAGTCCTGCTGTGCAGACTAAGGGAACCTAGAGATTTGTACCGATTAGTTGCATTTCTCTGTTTTGGATATATTAAAATTTTGTGGAGGCGTGAGAGCAGGTATTAGGGGTATTTTGTTGGGTGGGAGGGGGCTTTGAGATGGGAGTGTAGGGAGTGACACTGAGGGTCCGTCCTCCATGTCTCATGCAGGGAAGACGCCGAGGCGCCCAAGGCCAAGCTGATGAAGCCCAACTCGCTGTCCTCCTCCCGATCGGGAAGCTCCCGGTCTGGCACCTCCTCCACGCAGTCCATGGTGCACAGCACCGCCACCCGCGGGCACCGCCCCCGCCCCCCAGCCGTGGCAGCCTTGAAGGAGAACGGACAGCCCCCCGGTTTCAGCCAGCCCCCCCCCGCATACACACAGGTGGAGACCAAGACGCTCGAGCCCGACACCCCCAAGTTCACCTCCAGGAACCTGAGCGTCACCCCAGTCATGATCCCCGCCCAAAGCAAGGCCTTCCAGACTGTGTAGGAGGAAGTGACATCAGCGGCCACGATACTCAAGAAGCCCCCTTCTGCTCCACGGCGCCACCTTGCACTCCTTATACTCCGAAAACCAGGACAAAAAATACTTTCTCTTCAGAAACAACTGAATGCAACAAAAAAAAAACAGATATCGTTTAAGTAAAATTAATAAATGTTTTAGTGAATGCCTACCTAAACGGAATAACTATGAAGTGCTTGCCCCTCTTAAATGAAATAAAAAAGAAAAAGTACAAACAGAGAAATGCATCTGTTTATGTCCATTCGAAGGCGACGTGTTTTTCTAATTTTAATTCTGAAGGCATGGAGTGTTCAGTGTACAGCGAGGTGGAAGTGTCAAGGTTTTTTTTTGTTTTTTTTTGTTTTTAAGAAAAGAGACTCAGAGATTTGAGCGAATCATCCACACAGAAGGGTCAAAATCTGGATTCTGGGGAGCGGGATGAGGAGGTGGCAGGGGTGAAGTCACACTCACACTGACCAGCGAGGGACCTGCTGAGGGGGGGGGGGGGGGGTGAGGTACACCGCGATCCTCTGTCATCCGCAGCCACTCTCTCACCCACACACCCAATCGGCCGTTCCCAGCATGCACCACAGATGCCACATTGCATCGCATCAAAGAGTTGGTGGGGGGGCAGGGAGTTGCTATGCAGAAGAGGGAGTCCTGGAGGAGACGCTGCGTCGCATGCCGCCGTAGCCGGCCTGCATGGCACCGCATCGAGTGTCCCGCGGAGACCTGGCGGTGGCTGCAGGGCCCCCGTACGCCATGAATCACGCCAACATCGGAAGCGGGTGACTCATAGCTGACGTTGGAATTTCATCCATGAGGACAGTTTCTCCAGAAATGGAGAGATGGAGGCTCCAGTCACAGGACTCACGATGGAACCTCGACGGACGGCCCTCTCCTCCCAGGTGCCATTGCCGAATGTTCCGGAACCTACCTTTGGCTCGCCCAACGTCAACGTGTTAAATCCTGGTCGTCAGAAGACACCATGAAAATGCCATTTGAAAAGCCAAGGGTGGATCGTCCTTAACGAGGAAACATCAAATTAACCAGGAGCTTTATATTGCTTTTATTGAGTTTTGTTGTTTTTCTTCCGTTTTATTTGAAACTCGGCCGCAGGTTGCGGCGAAGTCACTTCAGTTGCCCAGAGAAGAACCTCGAGGTTGCAGTTGTGGCCCACTGTTGGCTTTGTTTCTTTCTTTTCCTGCTTTTCTTTATCTAATTTTATTGAAACCAAATTGTATCAAAAGGCTTTGACTGTAAGTGGAAAAAGGAGGACGGTCGATGAGATTGGTTGGTTTTTAAACCGAGACTGAATAGCTATTCAAACCTGATCACCTAGACCATCGAGAGACAAACAAAGGTGTACAATGTTCACTCGCATGGGAATCCAGGAACAGATTCATTCCGTAATTCTGCGTTCGCCGATCCTGTGTCACGTTGACTTCTTCCTCACCCTGTTGGTTTTTTGAAACAGTTTTCAGTTTTTCTCACCCAGGCTGAGCACGAGCTACACGGACGCGAGTGATAAACAAGGAAGAGTCGCCCATATCGTGTGCCTTTGAAGTCCCTCTTTCTTTCGACGGATTCCTTTTCGTGCCCAGCAATGGAAACAAAAAAAAAAAGTCTTTGGGAGCTTATATTCCAAAAATAACACCTGAAGAACCTCGGGAGCGAGCTGGTCCTCTGTAAATAGAAAAGTCGTAGATAGATGGATTGAGTATCCATGCAATAACCCTGTCAGGGAAAATCTGTATTATGTAGTTAGCATTTGTTTAATATTGTACATAAGGCTAGGCATACTGAAATTATGTCTTTTAGTATAAGAGGAAGGGTAGCAGAGAGATTATGGAGCCAATATACAGTGAAAGAGTTCGTTTTATGACCTAGAAGACCAATATTGTTTTTACGGCATTAGCACTTTCTGGCTATGCCTACACTCCCGCCTGTCAAGGCACTTTCCCTGTGGACGAAAGCAAACAAAACGTCCAGGTGTAACCTTTACGAAATGGCAAGGCGGGCGATGTTTGGTCCGTCTGTTTTCCTTTTTCTGTCTAATGTGCCTTTTTTTGGAAAAAAAAAAAATCGATTCAGTTTTCGCAGACGGGGCTTGCGCACGTGAGGGCGGCGTGGCTCGTGGGTGAGGGCAGGGAGATGCAGGAGGGTGACAGAACGTGGGAAGGGGGTTGGGGGATGTGTCACGCATCCTGCGCTTTTCCGTGGGCTGGTCTCACGGGCCTTCGGAAGCTAAAGCCGCCCAATTAGCACCCAGGACAAACAGAACGGTAGTGAAGTTACGAGCATCAGATGGCATCACAGTTCTGAAGAGTGTGAGGTGTCTGTCAGCAAAACTCCAGCAGTCTGGCTCCAAGGGCAATTGTGGAGTGGAGGCATAATTTATTTAAAGGGGCCAAGCTTATCATTAGCCAATGATATGTTTTGAATTGGTGAGTGAAATGGCTGGAGCACTCCAGGGACGAATCAGCTTTCTGGTGTGACCTGTGGCCCCGCCTCCCTGTATATATCCCTGCCAGGCTCTCTCCATGAGTGACAGCAGGAAAAGCCCAGACAAAGATAATTTCCGAGGAGATGCAGGGCAATGAATGACAAAGCGATTGGGGACGGCTTCCCTCTGCCCCGAAGGTCTGCGGGGTCAAATACTGGCAACGGCCCTTCCTCGATAGCCTAGAGCATGTAGGTTAACCCAAACAGCTCTGGGAAAATGTCACAGACAGATTGAATAAATCACAGGTCACTTTGAAAACAGCTGAATACGGATGACAGATTTTCCAAACTGATTTGCCGGCGAGTTTTGTGAAACTAAAAAGGGGTGGCTAGTGATAGAGGGGTATTATTAAGCGGAAGCGGCTGGCTACCTTAAGACTTCTTGAATTCCCCCCCTCCCCCTTCCATTAACTGGCCTTTGAAGAGGAAAAAAACACGGAACAATAGATCCACTTCCATCCAATTGCACGCTACGCTGTACCTTGGCACTCTCCCACGGCAGAAAAGGGAAACCCACCAATTTTAAAAATCTTCCACTACACTGCTTTTCTTCAGAGCCAGTAACAGCATCTGGCAGCTTTTTTTCCTATAAAAAAAAAACTTAGGAAAAAACATATTAGTGATCTTTAAAATGCCTTTTTTTGCTTGGAAGTCCTCTGACTGAACAGGGTTCCAAATCTGAGCTGGGGTTTCAGAACAACCCTCTGCTCCGGACTGAAGAAATGTTAGGTCACATCCATGCCACTACGTCTAAGTCCTTGCGGACGCTTTTTCACCAGCGACTGACCACGAATCGGTGACCTTGTCTCTGACACCGTGCAGTCACTATGTAGCACTACGTACAAAGCAAGGGAAAATTCACCTCAACAAGGAAACGGGGATGATGGGACAGTCTGCATGCTACACATAATTATGTAAAGGGATTATTTGCCTCAATGCTAATATATACATTCAGTGACCGGTTTATTAGGTACACAGATACAGCCTGTTTTTCCAAATAGCCAATCGCAGCGGCTCCAGCATCCCAGAAACAGCCACCCTCCTGTGATTTTCACACTCTACATCATCTAGAGTTTACAGAGAATGGTGTGATGAACAAAAATGTCCAGTCAATGGCATTTCTATGGCTGAGAATACCTCATTAATAAGAGAGGTCAGAGGAGAAGAGCCAGCCTCGTTAAAGCCGACATGGAGGGCCGCAAGTACAACAATAATGGCTCAATAGAACAGTGGTGTGCAGAACCCTTGAAGCAGGTCTGGGTGCAGAAGTGGATCCTACCTCTAGGACCCCACTAAGAAAGTGATTTTGCTCCCTCCTAGTGTAGTGATGGTCTGTGGCCAACAGGAGGCCTCAAACTTCTGGGACCCCATCACTGCTAATCCTACCTGGTACTATTCAGATACACCTAATAAAGTGACCACTGAGTGTATGTATATATATATATATATATAGGCAATAACTGTAAATATCACATATGGAAACGTTCAGCATATATTTTGTTTTTCTTTTTTTCTGTTAAATATATGTAATTTGCACTTCCACACGCTGCGCTCGCATTGGGATTGATTTTGTTTTGCCTGTGACACACTGTCTGGATGTGCTAGCAGAGACATGCTCTGCCACAGCATGATAAAGGGAACTACCAGCCACCATTTACTTTCACTCATTTCTCGCCGGTCGCATTGCTGTCCATCCATTCTGTTTATTTGTAAAACCAGCGTGTTTGGTTAACAGAAGAATGACATGTAAATATGCCCTTCACAAGTAAAATTGTATATTTTTACGATTTCTGAATTATTATTGTTTAATTTCTAATAAAACATTAAATGACGAGTTATTCAGCATGAGACGTCGTTTTGCTTCAGTCAGGCTGACGCAGGTGTTGCAGTCATGTGCTTCTTTGAAGCTGATCATGTGACAAAGGATAACCTTTGTGTAAATAAGTCTTTGCCAGTCTTATAGGCATGATGAACCCAGGCTTCCCAGCAGCACCACAGTCCTACATAACAGTGGCTTCTCACTGGAGCTAGTTACTGAGTCCATAATGCTGCCCCTGAATGTGTATACCAAGATCGGGTCTTATGTCCTGTTTTAAAGGTAAATTACAGGTGGAGCTGTATTCAGTTACATTTTGTACAAAGAAGAAGGCGGAGTCAGACAGTCCACATGGGAAATTGGGGGTTAAGGGCTTTGTTGAATATCTCAAAGGTTACATCACTCTGTCAAACCTAGGATTTGAACCAGTGACCTTCGGATCACAGGCATAGTCGCCTAACCCACTGAAGTTGGGATTGCAACTTTGTAAGCTAAACTTATCTCAAATGTTCACAATAGGCACACAGAACTTTTGATGTTCTATATTTGTTCTTTAATCTTCGTGGTAGAAACTGCCTGATGTATTATAAAGAGCAATTGCTTTCATTAAATACCAATATTTGCATCATGCTAGCGCAGATTTACACAAAAAAAAGCACTTGTGAATTTTAAAACGTGCCAAAGTGGTAATTAAGTGGGGGGAAGTGTATATTTTAACCATTCTGTAATGAAAAGACCTCCCAGTTGCATGACATTTACCTACTGCGTTATATAATGTTAAAATTTTTTCATCCCTCAATTAGTACATTGCAGCTCCCTGGCCCTACATAATTACGTGCCATTTGGTTGCACGTCGAACAACCCGTGTACAGTAACTGCCTGCCCCTTGCCCAAACCCCTTAACCCCAAACACATAATGTACATAACGCCTATACCTCCGGCTGCCTCCCTCAACATTAGTCCTGCCTCCCTTCCTCTGCCCTGTCCTTTGAAAAATAAAATCGATAACGCAGAGCGCAGCCGTTAGCACGCATTTGCTGAGTACAAGCGACATTTGCCGCATGGCAGTACAGCAAAATAAAGTGGGGAGACACCCAGAGCCACACTGGACTGCCGTTTTCTGCACCGCCAGCAGGTCGGGGCGCAGAAACACAGACCCCGCAAGAAGAAAGCTCAAGCCTCGACTGGCGTTAAGAAGACTATGGTGCTTTTTTCCTTTTGTTTTAAGTACGCAATGAATCCGTGTAGACAGTTTCCCTTTTAAGCTCTGCAGATACAAGTTGAGTTGAACTAAAAATAAATACGGTTCGGAAATGTATTATACGGTTTGTTACATTTGTGATGAAATCCTGCCCTCTAGTGGTGACCACAAACATTTAATGCATAAGGTTAAAAACATACAAAATAGACTAGTACAAATTGCCTAATTCAGGCAACATGGGAGCTTGGTATCAGAATTAAAGAAAAATTAACCATGTGACCCGGAATAGAATAAGATACATTAAATCCCAGATTCAGCATGTTGACAGAAAAGAGTCTCACGCCATATTGATAACGTTTATTTTACAATCAGATCCCCTTTATACGACACATAAACCATTGCCGCAGGTCTGATATTTCAATATACTTATTCCGCGGAAGTACATTAGTTTTCTTTAACATTAATATGATAAGATAAAAAAAAGAGGGCAGCCGTACTCCGCACGATGAATTGAACACTATTCATCGTGCAATGAGCACCCCAGACTGCAGTAAATAAAGTTTCCTGAGCCGTTCTCTAGCCATCACTTATTTTTGAATGAAACTTTTAAGGGCCCGACATGATCTCGGTCGCCTCACTGCTCGTTTCAGTTCAGCAAATAAGCGAGTTCAGCGAAGCAGACATAAGCTCTCTGTCGCCGCCCTCTGGTGTAATGATGTACAATGGTCTAAAGGGGTCAGTCAGCATATACTGTATAACTTAATTAACATAAAGTATAATATATTAATATATAAAGTAAAACAAAAAGGTAAAATAAAAATGAAAAGGCAATTTCACAAAAAAAAAAACTGGAAAATATCCAAGGAAAAGTCAAAAGAATTGATTCGCTGTAGAGAATCGTATTTTCCATCTCTAATGTATATTTCTGAGCTGACACCCATAGCTGGGGGTATTCACGTCCCCCCACAATGGGTGATATTCTCACAGGAAAACAACTGTTGCCTTGTGGCTCACAGATAAACTGGCTACATTTCACTCTCGGCTGACTTGACTAATTAATGCACAGCCATTAATTCAAACTGAGAGGTTAATGGAATGCTATTTTTAGCCAACACTTGACATTATTTCCGCAAGCTCCCGTCGAGACAAAAGCGTTCGCAGCTACCGTGAGGATTATTGGGCTGTTCAGCTGTTGACTTCACATAGACCCGGAATCTGGACCCCTTTGCTCCTTAAAACTGAATAATCACAGCGGGTCTCCATCCAGACGTTTTTCCATGAAAGTGCTGCAGATGCTCTGAAGACATTTTCATTGAAAGCGACGGTGCTCTTTACAGCCACCTGTTATTAGACGATTGTCACAATGTACAGAAATTGTACTAAAACGAAAATGGAAGGAAGCCCACAGAACCAATCTGAAACACCAATCTTACATCAAACGATTCCTACAATTACCTGATTTCACTCTATTTAACTTAAACCCACTATAATGAATGTCTGTATATTGGGAAAGACATTAATGTGAAGTCTAAATAGGCGTTATAGGTTAATACACCAGTCATTATGTCCACCAAAGATATTTCTTCTGGCTATCCTGACTTTAGCCAGTTCATCAGCGGATTGCTGATTGATTCCTCGGTAACTGATGACCAAGCGGCCCGCTTTCATTGAAATAATTGACATTGACTGTGGAAGAATAATAGGCGCACGGATTTTAAAGCTGCACGGGGGCTTGCTTAATGTGCTATAAATAAAATGTTTGCTGACACTGGTGATCGTGTAGTTTATGTGCCGCTTGTTTCGAAAGCCAGGAGTGCTTCTGCTTATAGCTGACGGAGCCCAGTCAGGAGCATGAGCGGGCGTATGGATGCAATAGTGCCCCTTCAACACTCGCATAAAACCTATATGAAGATGTATCCGATGAGTGGTCCGTGGTTGTTGAATAAGACATACATCCCATCCCATTCCATTGTAAGTGCAGGCGCCGCTCCCCGTCACACGGATGGGCGTGAGACGCCGCTTCTCCATTAACCGCGATACGGTCCATCCGAGCGTGAAGACCGTTCGGCGAGTGTAGGAGCGCCGCTGGGGTTTGTAGGGGGAGAGGAGACGGCTTATATAAAACATATTATAGAAACCCCCGCACCTTGCGCATCGTGAACTGCATTCTTTTCTTATTCCAATCTTTGTTTTCGTTTTGTCCTGTGTGCCTGTGTGTCTGAAGTGGGAAATGGCTTTTGCGAACACGGGGCACATCATCCCGCAGCTGAAGCTGCAGGAGTCGGCGGCGGACAGTTTGCTGAAGAGCATCTCCATCCGATCTCTGCAGCAGCTGCGGACCAAGGCGGGCTCCCCGGCCAGGTAGGGCCAGCATCTGCTTACTGTCCTACACCAGTCCGCAAAACCAGCGTCTGCACCCAATACTGCTGTTTGTAGTAAGAAAGTCACACCAGAGAATAACGGCTCTGCGTGGACTAAAGGTATGCAATGCAGTTTGGTAAGTGTAATGTAAAACACTAATTTGGATAGGAATAATAATGACAACGAAATATTCTTTACTACGGGGATTTAAGGCTACGTGTTATAAATAGCAGTGACAGTATTGGCGTTTGGGAACTTTGGAAGTGTCTCTGAGTTACCCTGCATGTTTCCTAACACTTCATCCCGGAGATCCAAACATTATTAAGGTGGACTTTTTCAATTTTGTTCTGAATGAATTTGTTCTCGACTTTCTCTATGAACGTACTTAGGTTTTTACAACAGTAGGCTATCTAAATTATTAAAGATATAAAACGTAAACAGTATAGAGATGGTGCTGAAATTTACTCTAGCTGACATCACGTGGATACTAATTGGCTTAATAAAGTATGGGATATGGTTGGCTTCCTGTTCATTAATACTGCGTTTCTGATTTGTTTGACTTGTGATGTTTAGTCCCACACTTATCAGAACCAGATTTTAAACTGTTTAAAGTACACAATTTGTTTCGTAAGTAACTGGGTTTTACGTGGGCTGCACTTGTACAGCGTATGTCTTTGTATCAACGCATTTGACTTTCTTGAATGTTTGATATTCTCAGCAAATGATAATCGCTTTATTGCAAATTGATGGTTTGATGTCACTAAGCCTTGAAACGTACAGTATAGCCTCGGGAAGTAGGGCCGCATTTTTACTTGTGTGCATCACTAGATAAGCAGATGTAAAAGGCTTTCGGAGGCGGTATTAGCATGTGGATGGATAGCCTTGTCACCTTGCACCTCAGGGGTGGCTAGTTTGAATGCAGACTTGGCTCTGCGTGTGAGTTTGCTCTGACTACACCATCTCCCTCCCACGCTGCACGGATGAGCAGTCTGGGTGAATTGCTGACTGTGAAGTGTGTGAGCTAGTGTGTTTTGCAGCGTGCAACAGATTGGCATTTATCCCAAGTTTAGTGTGACGTGCTTTTCCAGGATGACCTTGGGATCACTTTTACCCTGTTTGGGTAAATTGGGATTTGAAAATGGATGGATAATTTCAAAAGTACTTGATGGCTGTTAATTTCTCAGGGGAACGGAGCGATTTTTCTGCTTTTATTGGGAGGAAAAACACTTGAGCAGCTGGTCTCACTGATTCTTCTCATACTTGCGTTCTGCTTTAAGTGCCTGTCCCTGTTTGTATGAACCGCAAATGTTTGCATAAACCATTCAACTAAGGGAAGGATCTCATGGAAGTCTACGGGGGTCTTGCAGGGTAGGCTGTGAGTCTGAGTGGACCCCCCCCCAACCATGACATATTAACCACACAAAGAGTAGAGGTAGGCAGGAACTAGCTATCCATCTGAG